GATTAATAACTAAGGAAACCAATGATTTTATCACTGTTCAAACTGTTTTACTTCAAAATGTTTTACAAACTCTTTTACTTATCAAATGCTTTATTTAAACTTTGTTTTACTACTTAAAATTTGCATGCCTATATATGTATAGCTGTATAAATAATGTTTAAAGGGCTTAGGAAAGCCACCTATCCTATTTCCTTTTCCTCGATTTGGATGTGGTCTGGTGGAATTTCGGGTGACTATCCGAGGGTCGTTTCAATATTAGTTATATGTCATATATACGTGTATAGACATAAAGGTACTTTCCATATTCATGCTTATCAACACATCATTAGTAAGTTACCATCGGGGTAACACGGGATCATACTACTACGATTTCTAGATCAACGAGTCAGTTCATTCATGAGTCAATATTCATTACTAAGAGAACATATACAACGATACTAGAACAAGTAATATTATATTACATACACACGAATACGTTAACAATTGTGATCCACTGTATGGAGCATGTCTTAATTGTCATGACCCGAGTTGTAGCCAGAGTCTCTTGGAGGGAGAGCGTTGAGTTTGCGTATAGATCTATACTGGATTGACTATCCTACACCTTGCTGTTAGCTACAGTGGGACCGACAGGTCTACGGGTGCCAAACGTCATAACTTATTTTTCGACTATACGTTGTCGATGTTACCAGTCAATAGTATGGTGCAATTTATCACACGATACCTTAATATAAACCCGGTTTAAGGTAGTTAGTACCGTAGTAGTTCATATAAAACGAAACTACCGTACTACAAAACTTACCCATTACATTTTGGTGATAGCCTCACCTAAACTTAAATGTACAAACTATATTTTGTTAAATGATAGTTACACTTGGGAAATTTCACACTTTTATATCAAACGAGCATACAAACTGTTAAGCCTTGGTAAAGGGCTACTTTAAACAGAAAATATAGGTTTTTCTGAGAGATTTCAAACACTTACATACATTTACAACTCATACTTGCGACAGGTTCAAAACGTTTTTGATAACGAACCTCGACACTAAAATACTTATGAATTCACCAGCTTAATGCTGATAAACTCTTTCAAAATAACTTGTATTCTCAGGTCATCAGTAGACAGGTACCGATGCTAGCTTTTGAGAAGATGGAGCGCATTCAAGTCTCATCATACTATTTTGATATACATTATATTTTTGGTGTCTAAAACTGTACGGAACACACTTGTATTAAAATGTTTATATTTAATGCAATGGATGATGTTGTTTGCTTATTTACAATTACTGTGTTGTGATACTCTACATGACGTCCTCCGCCCCAGAATGTTTCCGCCATTTTTGGTTTTGGGGTGTGACAAGGCTTTCAATTGTTCACGAATCTGAACGATCTTCTCTGTCGTTTCCCAAATGATCTCCGGACCTGTGAGATTGCTATCAGGAACTCATCCTTTAGCTAACTGTGTGTCTCCCACCTCAGCCCAACACAGAGGGGATCTGTACTCCAGCCATAGAGGGCTTCAAATGGAGAAACCTTTATGCTCGTATGATAACTGTTGTTGTAGGAAAATTCAACAAAAGGTAAATGAGTATCCCAAGCCTTCCCAAAGTCAATCACATATGCTCGCAAAATATCTTCCAAAGTTTTTATCGTCCTCTCACTCTGCCCATCAGTTTGCGGATGGTAGGCTGTACTCATGTCCAACCTAGTTCCTAGGGAACTTTGTAGCGACTGCCAAAACCTTGAAGTGAATATACTATATCTATCTGAGATAATGGATATAGGAACACCATGCAGTCGTACAATTTCTCTAATGTAAGTTCTTGTTAGTTTATCCATCTTTTCAGTCTCTTTGATTGCTAGAAAGTGCGCGGATTTGGTCAATCTATCGACGATGTCCCAAATGGTATCAAGTCCACCCGTTGTCTTGGGCAACTTGGTTATGAAGTCCATAGTAATCCGCTCCTATTTCCACTCCGGTATCTTTGGTTATTGTAGCAATCCTGAGGGTCTCTGGTACTCGACCTTAACCGTCGCGCAAGTAAGACATTTACTCACAAAGGTAGCAATATCTGCTTTCATGTTAGGCCACCAGTATAGTTTCTTAAGATCCAAATACATCTTATCTGAACCTGGGTGGAGAAATATCTAGTGTCGTGTGCTTTATTCATGACCAAGTCTCTGAAACCACCAATGTTTCGGTGTCCAGATACGATCAATGAGATACAAGGCTCCGCCACCTTTGACTTCTAAGTTTTTATCCATTCCTCTCAGTGATTCACTCACCACATTTTTAGGTTTCAAGGCTTCAAGTTGAGCCTCCTTAATTTGTGTGGACAAGTGGAATGGATAGTCATAGTTAATGATTTGACTCTCCGACCAGAGTATTCTTTCTGACTCAGGGCATCAGCTACTACATTGGCCTTGCCGTGGTGATAACGAATTTCGCATTTGTAGTCATTGAATAGCTCGACCCACTGTCGTTGTCTCATGTTGAGCTCCTTCTAGTTGAATATGTGTTGATGGCTCGTGTGGTCTGTGAAGATAGTACTCTTTGTACCATATAGGTAGTGTCTCCGATCTTCAGAGCAAATACAACTGCTCCTAACTCAAGATCGTCTGTTGTATAGTTGACTTTGTGAGTCTTAAGCTGACGGGAGGCATAGGCAATGACCTTTCCTCTTTGCATAAGAACACAACTAAGCCTCGGTTGGATGCATCGCCATACACAACGAAATCTTCTATCCCTTCTGGTAGGGATAATATCGGTGCGGTGCACAAGGCTTGTTTCAATGTTTGGAACGCCTTCTCTTGTTTCTCTTCCCAATCAAAGGCCACGCCTTTCTAGGTAAATGAAGTAAGCGGTTTTGCGATGTTTAAGAAGTTATGTATGAAGCTGCGATAGTAGCTAGCGAGACCTAGAAATTGACGAATTTTTGTAGCTGTCTTTGGTGCTGACCAGTTCTAAATGGCCTTTATTTTGGAAGGGTCTACGTGAATTCCCTTTTCGCTAACAATGTGGCCCAAGAATTCGACTCTTCAGATCCAAAACTCGCACTTAGAGAACTTAGCATAGAGCTTCTCTGATCGTAATGTTTCTAAGATTCTTCGTAGGTGTTGACTATGCTCCTCCTTACTTCAAAAGTAGATAAGTATGTCATCAATGAAGACAATGACGAATTGATCCAAGTAAGGATGGCACACCCTATTCATTAGATCCATGAATATAGTTGGTGCGTTGGTTAATCCGAACAGCATCACTACAAACTCGTAGTGTCCATAACGAGTTCGGAAGGCTGTCTTGGGGACATCCTCTTCTCACACTCGTAACTGGTGATATCCGGATCTTAGATCTATCTTCGAGAAGTAGTTCGCTCCTTGAAGTTGATCAAATAAGTTGTCAATGTGGGGTAAAGGATAACGATCCTTGATGGTAAGTTTGTTTAGCTCTCTGTAGTCGATGCACATACGAAACAATCCATCTTTCTTCTTCACGAACAAGACCGGTGCTCCCCATTGTGAGAAGCTTGGCCTAATGGATCCCTTCCTGAGAAGTTCGTTAAGTTGACTGGAAAGTTCCTGCATCTCTGTTGGTGCCAGATGATAAGGAGATTTAGCTACTGGGGTAGCCCCTGGCACTAAGTCGATTCTGAACTCGACTTGGCATTGTGGTGGGAATCCTGGTAGTTCTTTAGGAAAGATGTCAGGAAAGTCGCGTACTTCTGGAATGTTCTGAATATCTTTCACTTCTTGACTCGTATCAACAATGTGTGCAAGGAATGCATGATATTCCTTTCATAAGCACTTTTGAGCTTGAATACACAAAATGATGCGAAGGTTCGTTGTTAGGGAGGTTAAGACGAACTACTTTCTCAAAGAACATGATGTCGGTGCGAAGAAGACTTAACCAATCCAAGCTGATTATGACGTCGAAACTTTTAATTGAGACTGGCATGAGGTCGATTTGGAATGAATGACCATCTAAAGTTAAAGTACAACCTATGTATATGCAGTAGTTCTTTCGTTTTTCTTGTTTGCCATTCCTACAGTGAATGATTCTTCTAGTGCACGTGGTTTTTGTTTAAGTAAGGGAGCAAATTTTTGGTTTACAAAACTCCTCTCCGCTCCACTATCAAACAGCATTCAAGCATATGAATTATCGAG